GTTTTCACAAATACGAGGAAAGTAACAAGAGGCTTGAACTACTCAAGCTGGATAATGACAATGTTGTGCCAATTGCGAAAGAGGCATGTAGTCTTGCAATATGCTATTTTTTTATTGGGCATGAAGGAAGCTCTCGTGCAACCATTGACAAGATGACGTCATGCCCTAGCTCTATCCACTAAGTTTCCTTCACAACACAACATCTTGTTGGGGTCGACATCATATAGTTGGTCATCATATCCAAACTGACGAGCAAAATAATTAGGGAAATATGGCTCTTGATAACAAATCTCCTTGATTTGAAGGACAAGATGAGGGACAAGATGAGCGAGTCAGATGTTCATCAAATAAGTGAAAGCGACAAGAGGAAGATCAGCCTCTGTCATGTTGGTATCAAAAATGAAGGTCTCGTGACCTTAATGTGCTATCCTCTGAAGGAGCTGATAAAATCTGTAGTTCGTAAAATGACCCAGTTTCTCCTAAATGGCACTGAGATAGTGATGGTTCCATATTGGTATTGGTTTCCTGCTATGGAGTCATGAGCGTTTGGCAGCGACTGATGAACCAAGCCATCAAGTAAGCATAAGGAAGCTCAACTCTTAGTCTTGGACCGCTGGAAGGCTTCTTACACTTCAACTTTGCACCTCTTTTAGAGATGAATGTTAAATAGCAATCATATAAGCTCCTTATGCCCCTCTGAATGTAGCAGATCATGACTAGGAGTAATGATATGAGCCTACAACACACCAACTGGATGGCAAGGAATATACTCTCAGCGAAAAGGTTTCATTTATAATGACACATTTCTTGATCTAAATTGAGAGAAACCCAATTAGAGCAACCATAAAACTTAAGTCATGTTTCGCCTGCTAATACTAGCTCTTGTAGACCTTAGAGGGAGCATCAGGCAACAATCCTTGAGAGATACTAATCATTCAACGCCTGCTCCATGCAATCAACATATTAGTGGTTTGCATAAAGGAATTTAACGTGTTGGATGATTGAGTCAACATATCGGTGATCTGATAGATGCTATAATCATGACTTCTAAACTATTCTTTAGGACACTATACATTTTCTCATGGTCATTATTGAATCTCGGTGGAGGAGAAATGATAGATTGATTCTAAAGAAGCTGATACATTGTTTCTAAGAAATCTGATTTTTGTATGCAAGATTAGGTTGGGGATTATGGAGATTGTGAGTGTTGCATATTTTTTAATAGAACGATTCTAAGGAAGTTGATTTTAGTATGCAAGATTAGGTTGAGGATTATGAAGATTTCGGGTGTTGAACTGACCCATATTTCCCCTAGAAAATTGTAGAACTAAAGAGGGAGTGAAATTTGGATTTCTCCCAAGAAACTTGTCTGATTTCATACAAAATTAGGATGACTTCTCCAATCCAAATTGTAAGTTGAAGAAAATGGATCATTCCTAGGACGCTGGAATACGACGTTCATCTGATCAAGCAATTGGTTGTTTCCTAAAAGAGAATATTCTTCTAAATAAGGGATTTTTTAAAAAAGATATTTTTTGCTAAATAATTAGCAAAATCGACCATTTTGCTAAATAATTAGCAAAATCAATAATTTTGCTAATTATTTAGCAAAATCGACCTCTTTTTGGCCAACAGGCCAAAAAAGGTCGATTTTAAAAAGCAGGCTGATCAAAACATACGGGACTAGTAGTCCCGTATGTTCTAAAACCACAACCAAAACATACGGGACTACTAGTCCCGTATGTTTCTGGTTTACAAATCTCAACCAAAACATCGGCTGCCTGAACTGAAAACGAAGGCCCAAAAGAGATCTTTCACGCTGTCCGAGAGCTCCTAGGGCTGATAAAAAGAGTAGTCAGCTAGTCTCCTGGTCCAAGGATGCTCCTTTGGCCGCAACACGAACCTTGTGAGGAAAAGGGAAGAGGCAGCGATCATGGTACTGGAGGATGTGGTACTCAAGAAGAGAGAGCTCCATGATGACATCAGCGAGGAACTTGAGCTGAGACGGCCCACGAGTGACGTTGACGAGGCCACTCAAGAAGCACTTGGGTGTGGGAGTAGTCAGTTCGAAATTGAGGAGGCTGAGGACCTGGTGAGTCAATGCGAAGCTCCATCTCCTTCTCCTCCTCAACTTGACGGGTTCATTTATGTGGGGATTAAGAACAGTTTTTGGGATTAATTTGTTGGATTTGAAGGGCTAGGGGATTTCAAAAGAATTGGGATGAGATTTTTTATGTGGGTTTGGAGAGAGGAGGAGAGGGAAGGAGAAATGGAGCTCGGATGTCAGTCGACGGTGGAAGCCATCATATCAGCGGTGATGTCATTCTGAACCCACAGATTTTAAAAAATAGTCTGCCCCAAACATACGGAACTATTAGTCCCGTATATTTTGGTTGTGGTTTTAAAACATACGGGACCACTAGTACCGTATATTTCGAGCAAACTGCTTTTTTTAAAATCGACCTCTTTTTGGCCTGTTGGCCAAAAAAAGGTCGATTTTGCTAAATAATTATCAAAATGGTCGATTTTACTAATTATTTAGCAAAAAAGGTCTTTTTTAAAAAAATCCCTCTAAATAATGGGTCCAAGATAAGCAATTATTACATCCTGGGTAAAAAAAATTTTGTTGATATAAGTAGGAGCTCGATCTTTAGTTTCTAAAGCTTGTAACCTAGGATTGAAGCTATATTACCTTTAGAGCCTGTGTTTGATTCTTAGGATAAATCACCGAATTTGGTTGAGGGAACTGACGAAGCTGCTCTTTCATCATATTGTTCTTATTGCATGGTTTTTTTTAGAAAAGTTCTCTAAAGATTTCCAAGCTTCATCACCATTTTTTTCATGAAATCCCTTTGATACATAGATTCTAAGGACGTCTTTGAAGATAATCCAACCATTCATAGATAATTTAGCATAAACTCCACTTTTCTAAACCATAATG